CTTTCACGGCCTCTACATTAAACATTCAGACCTAGCCTAAGCTTTCACGGCCTCTACATTAAACATTCAGACCTAAGCTTTCACGGCCTCTACATGAAACATTCAGACCTAAGCTTTCACGGCCTCTACATGAAACATTCAGACCTAAGCTTTCACGGCCTCTACATTAAACATTCAGACCTAAGCTTTCACGGCCTCTACATTAAACATTCAGACCTAAGCTTTCACGGCCTCTACATTAAACATTCAGACCTAAGCTTTCACGGCCTCTACATGAAACATTCAGACCTAGCCTAAGCTTTCACGGCCTCTACATTAAACATTCAGACCTAAGCTTTCACGGCCTCTACATTAAACATTCAGACCTAAGCTTTCACGGCCTCTACATTAAACATTCAGACCTAAGCTTTCACGGCCTCTACATTAAACATTCAGACCTAAGCTTTCACGGCCTCTACATGAAACATTCAGACCTAAGCTTTCACGGCCTCTACATTAAACATTCAGACCTAAGCTTTCACGGCCTCTACATTAGACATTCAGACCTATTCCGAGCTACCTAGCGTTATACTACAGATAATTGTAACCGAATTCTATCCAGTCTGAGCTTGATTTAAATTGTTACGGAAAATATATAAAACAATGTGATCATCATGATTGTAGGGCGTGTCCTCTCTGGAATAAACACCAAACACATTTACTATGGAACAGAACTTCACAGGTTTGACAGTAGGAGCTCGTCGATATGGATTATTTGTAACGAAGCCAAGCCTTTTGATACAGATTATATCACTCTGTCCACATGCAGTACAGTAGTTACCCCAGGGTATTTGACAGGAGTACCAATCTATTAGCACGAACCTCAACGTTGATTTCTTCTTTGTTATGTATCGACGTTGATTTTGATGGCTGTCAAATTCTGATGAAAACTATTCCCCATATAAACTGTTATAGAACCCAAAAACAGAATGCTGTTTACATTATACGTGCGGTTCATGTATCCTGAAATTTTAGATATTCAAAATTTATCTCAAACATTACCAGGCGTGCTCCTCGTGATTTGATACCGTGAAAAACTTAAAAGGTTTCATACCTGGCGAATGAGATGTGACGTGTTTTCTGTACATTGACCTAGGATGAGTAAAAACTCAAATTAGATCAGCCATTCCACATAAAGAATTACGCAGAAGTTAACTCAATTTCTTTTGATAAAATTGAGTCGGCCCCAGTTTTCGTAAGATTTCGTAAGTTAAGCTTCAAAACATAAACACTCGATTCGACTCTAATTACAGTCTCCGTAGGGCATGAGGCACCACTACTACTACAGCCCACAACTTTGCTGAATGAAGTGGCGATGTCATTGCCATTTGAGCAAAACAATCTTGATAGTGCTTTGATATAAGACGGTGTGAAGGTGTTGTGTTGATTTGGCGATCTCAACCTACAATAAACAGAAAGTTATACAAAATTACCGCGAAAATTATCCGGTTCACAGTATGTAGGACAACTGGGACCGGATGTTATTTTGATGGATTCAATATTTCATTTGTCACAACCCGTTTTCTGGCAAAAATAAATTGTGTGCGCGGATAACATCAAACAGGTTGTAATGCTAAGATCACTGAATGGTCTTAATTCTTCGTCACCTTTAGATTGAAATATAGCCCAGACAGTAATTCCGCCAAGACAGTAATTTGTCGGTACGGCATGGCTTCAGTCTCATCATCAATACAACTGTATATATGATATGGACAGGCCAACACAATAGAATGTCAGCGGCTCCGTACAACAGAAGCATCTCAAGTGCGCCAAGCAGGAGATGTAGATGGAGTTAACTTGATACCTTTTAGCCTGGGCGGATTATAAACAATGTCTAGAACGCAAACTCTAAATATAGAATGTCAAAGAGTTGTCATGTGGGTCTTAAAACATGTTCGCGTTGTCTTTCATCTCTTTCGACTGACGACATGAGACGCCATAATGCAGGCCGACCTTACATTTACCTTAAAGAAGCATAATAACAGTAGTATACTTTCCTTAACGATATATCTCGTAAGACTATACAAGAGACACACAAGCGAATACCACATTTTAAGAATATAAAGTTAGATACCGTAGAGTCAAACAACGAATTAAACTGCATCATACAGCTGTTTAGTCCTTCTAGGATTCGTCAGTGATTCTACATCATACAGCTGTTTCGTCCTTCTAGGACTCGTCAGTGATGTTACATCATACAGCTGTTTCGTCCTTCTAGGACTCGTCAGTGATGTTACATCATACAGCTGTTTCGTCCTTCTAGGACTCGTCAGTGATGCTACATCATACAGCTGTTTCGTCCTTCTAGGACTCGTCAGTGATGCTACATCATACAGCTGTTTCGTCCTTCTAGGACTCGTCAGTGATGCTACATCATACAGCTGTTTAGTCCTTCTAGGACTCGTCAGTGATGTTACATCACACAGCTGTTTCGTCCTTCTAGGACTCGTCAGTGATTCTACATCATACAGCTGTTTCGTCCTTCTAGGACTCGTCAGTGATGCTACATCATACAGCTGTTTAGTCCTTCTAGGACTCGTCATTATGCTAAATCATACAGTTGTTTCGTCCTTCTAGGACTCGTCAGTGATGCTAAGGGTCTAAAGTTTGTAGCCTAGAAGGGGACTAAGGAAAATCCAAATCAATCGAAAGAAAAGTAAGGATCTAGACGAGGAGGTGCAGCAGCCCCATTATAACTTTCGTTATTTTCATATATCAGCTAATTTTAGAACAGCGTCTAGTACATGAATCACACTACGAAATCTACAATATGGTGTGATTATTTGAAGCATTGATTAAACAACAAAATAATTTGACATGTCTGCATTTCGTTTAAATTAACTCTAATATTCCTTAAGATATATATTTTCGTCTAATAGGAAGATTACTTGCATTTTTAAAATATCAGGGAAAGATAATATCTTTTGTATTTCCGACGCCGTCCTGGATGATCAAGTAGTTCAACAATGTCTCATTCGACCTTAGATAATTGTGCTTTTTACCCTCAGCATTAAAGCGATAACGCGCACACGCACATGGATTTTGAAGATATCTAGATGCTCATTTATTGTGTCCTATTATGTTGAAACCATACATTCAAGCAATCTATCGCAGAGTCAACATATTCATCTTAAAGAATTCTTTGTGATCAAATAAACAGTATCAGCAGATATAATTTGAAACTTAAAATCGCGGTAAAATGCACGCCCGTTCAAGCAACGGGGAAGACGTGCAAGCGTACTTCAAAGCATCTTGGGCTCGTTTTATTACATAATCTGACTTCACAAACACGTACTCGGACGGATGTGTTTTGCATGTGAATGTTTTATTTACGTTTTCTAGCATCGCAAACTCGTATTTTGGATGGGGTGTTTTAACTGTTGTGTTTAATTCCAGAATGGGTAATTCCACAATTTTTCTGTGTAACATTATTGCTCCGGTGATTACAATGTTATGGCTGTTGTTCGTGAAAATGTTGAAATTCAATTTAGCATCGCTAAACCGGTATACTCACATATATGGTTTAGCCAATGAGTTTCGTTCGATTTTCACTTTGTTTTTAACTAGCTGGGATACAACTACAACCTAAGATAATTAATATTTAAAGTCAATTACAGTAGATTAAAAGTGAAAAACAAATAATGATAAAAACATTTTAAAAATAAACGAAAAAAAAAAAAAAAACATTTGCGGATGTTATAATTGTGTTATGGTAATGACGGGTGAGTTAATTTGACTTCAGGATATAAAATGCTGACGTGTGTCCACTGGATAATATGTAGAGTATGAGGCAACCAATAGGAGACTCCCTGGGGGAAAAACCGAGGATTGGTTTTGTTAGGGAACGTGACAGACTGTAGGAAATGGAAAAGAACAAAACAAGAATGCAAGTAGCGTACAGAGTAGAGTTTGATAGTTTTGACACTCTATACTTTAAATTAACGTTTATAAAGCGGAAGTTATCAGAATCCAAATAAATTTCTCAGGATGACGATAATTGAACACACGAGTAAACTACTTCCGGGATGTTTTTATTTTCTATCTTATTATTTGAGTAGTCTCCCTTCTACGTCGATAAAACAGCAAAATTGCATTCCCAGTAGGCAAAACGTATGACTGACAGACAGTGCATGAAATCTTTCAGCGAAGAATGAGTCAGAATGACACAGAAATTATTACATAATAGTTATCATGGTTACATATGCTAAAGTTTTGACATAAACCAAAGCCGAAATGGTTTAAATCGCTTCGTTTCAGAACTAATATAATATGCGATTTTAAATAATTACTTTTTTTCACATTATCTCATTACACTCTCTAATGATTGAAAAATGAATTTATAATTGTCAACTGACGATTGGTGCATGTGATAGAGGCAGAGAGAAAAAAAATGAAGAAATCTCACATGACGTATTTCGGAATGATTTGCCGTCTGGAGGGACAAAAGTGGAAGGCATAGTTTGTAGTCTTGAGGCTCTCGTCATAGCTAAACTGTATTACTTCTCTACAAATCGATATGGCACAACAGAGGGACAACCACAGCCAAACACATCGACGGTGATGCAGTCTACACACAACCGAGCCAGCAACAGGTAATTGAGAACTTTTGCTGATAGTCTTAATGGACCAATGATTACATCACACCTGTCAAAGAAAACTGCATTCCTAATTCCGGATGGACTGGTCAATTTTATAAACTATTTCTGTTCTCGGAAACAGCTGTTTGGTAAATCGTTTAGTACCTTGAATGTGTACTATGCTTTTGTATTTGAGCGTCTGATTGATTTCCCAGCGGTGAAATAAAAGTCGTTTTTGGACTAGTGACAAAAAGGGCAAAGGTTACACTGAATGAACCTAACGTCCACTCGTTTCGTATTGTTGGGGGAATACGCCCAAGGTCAGAGGTCATGAGATGATGAATGACGTTGGCTTTGTAACCAAACATATGCATTGTAAGCCCCAAAGTCACTCTCTGTGTTTATTGCACGTGTTGCGAGCGGCCGCGTACATGTTACACGAGAACACGGCTCTATAACGTACATCCTGGATGAAGACTTACAGAAATGTTCAAAGGGGAAAAAACTGCCGCGAATGAATATCAAGTGCTCTCGTATATAATGATGTATTTTCAGCCTCAACAGTGAAATGGAACTTTATGGGTGTTTCATAATCGGATATATTTCAAATTATCAGTGGAGTATTTGTGTGTTGTACCGTCGGTATCAAAGTGATTCACTTCTGCCGAGATTTCAGAGTTTGTGGAATGGATTACACATCACATAACTGGTCTTAAGTACCGTGGCGTTAAAGTTTGGACCTACAGGGAGGGTACACCTCTCCTGGTCGGCCGGACTGTCCTAGAGGGAGGGTGAACAGAATTATATAGAAGATGAGAAGCCCGTGTCAAAGGTGTATTGCCTTTGAGCGTTGTGTTTAGTAATTTGTTACATTCTTGTCACTACGTGACCGATACAATCAGCCCCGTCGCTCGGTGATGGATGCCGCCCCGTATGATAATGTGGAATTCCCCATCAGGAGGCCCCTTGGGACCCCCGCCACGTGGCCAGGTTCCGATCATGTCATCATGTCCATTAAATCTCCCAGCCCTAAGACAGCTAAACCTAAAACGGAGTCTAAATTGTCACCTGTCCTGGAGGGGGACGGAAATGAGTTTATTGAGGAGCAAGCAGAACTCCCGTCAGTTCAGGAACAACGACAGGTGGCGCAAGTGTCCAATCAGCGCGACAAAAAGGTGCGTACCGCTAGGGAAGGGATGGACAGGGCATAAGGCTGGGGCAAACAGGTGTGTACCGCTAGGGCAGGGATGGACAGGGCATAAGGCTGGGGCAAAAAGGTGGGTATCGCTAGGGCAGGGATGGACAGGGCATAAGGCTGGGGCAAAAAGGTGGGTATCGCTAGGGCAGGGATGGACAGGGCATAAGGCTGGGGCAAAAAGGTGTGTATCGCTAGGGAAGGGATGGACAGGGCATAAGGCTGGGGCAAAAAGGTGGGCATCGCTAGGGCAAGGATGGACGGGACAAAAAAAAGTGTATCGCTGGGGCAGGGATGGGCGGGACGAAAAGGTCTGTACCGATAGGACGGGGGAGGACGGGCGTGGGGCTGGGACAAAAAGATGTGTGCGTATTCCGTCGGGGCAGGAATGGACGGAACAAAAAGGCGTTTACCGCCGGGGGAGGGAGGAAGAAAAATATTTCTTTAACGTGGGAGGAAAGAGAAACATAAAGGGTCATTGTGTTAAGACACCGGGGTAGGGATCGTCTTGAAGACATGAATTACGAGGTGTCAATGTCAAAGAAACTGTAAGCAATGAAGAAACCGTGAGACAGGGGATAGAGTTCGTAGTGTTTGCGGATAGTAAAATAAAATTATTTATCGAATCGAAAACAATACCAACAACAGATTAAGTCCCGTGGGAAAGAGAAAACAAACAGAACTGGGTCTCTAATTATATAAGAAATCAATGCTCAGTTATGACACTAAACCAATATAAGCCATTAAGAAACGTCCATTTTGTGCCGAGTGCTCCACTACGCTAACCTATCTTTAACATTAATATACTGCATGTTTTTAGAACATTTTAACGTTTCAGTAATAATTGTATGTCCTGTTAAGCATCGTAATCCTACCAATATAGTCAATATATTGATTTTGTCGTAAGAAACACTTTGAAAATATCGAAATCGGAAAGTATCATGAAGAATACAGACTAACTATGCTTGTGTAGCGCAGCTGTAATCCTTCTGTACAACATTATAACCATACAGCGGTTACATGTATCAAAAGTAAACAGGGCGATCACGTACGTACAAGCCTACAGGCAGTACCGAACATTAGCCATCATGTTTTATGTCCATATAGAAATTTTCCATGTTAATTGCTTTTGAAAATCAATCTCTTACATAACAATGTTTTATACATGGGGCCTTTCGGGCGCAGACGCGCTGTAGATGATTTAGTGATAGGCGCTCGTTTAAATGCTCGGACCGTAAGGTTTGGCCGCATGTACGAGGCCAATCAATGCCTATATTGGTAATGTATTGGTGATGGGGACGACAGAACATATTTACTCTGAATTAGTACTGCATAATTAAAGCATAGCAACACGAATAAGTTATAGCTCTGGATAATTCAGACTTCAGAGATCACTCACGGATAGATGTATACAGAGGGCTCTCTAGAGGGCTTCTTAAAGTGCTTTCTTCTTGAGAACAGTAGTCTCTCAAATATTCTCTTTTCTCTTTTATGTAGTGTGTGAGGGAGGGGGTGGGGTTGCGGTTAAGGCTTTTTTGTTTCTCTTCTTATCATAATAAGTTTAAACGTTTTACTATCATTGCTAAGGAGTACTTTTTGCACCGATTAGAATAGTTTAACATGTGACCAAGTTTAAACACATGACAAATTTATATATAAAGACCATTGTATTTAACATAAAATAGATTCGACTATGTTTTGTTCATATGCCACCCTCCCCCCTCATTTCGATTCGGAGACATCTTCTTTTATTTGCGACTAGAACAAAGTGCTTTCTCTGCGTTAGTCCACAACTTTTAAATCATCGCAGAGAATATTAGATGATGTTTCTAGATGTAAACTGTACAGCTAAATTACTTACGGACTAGCTCGATATAGCCAACAAGCACGGGTGATATGTTCGTTACATATTTCACACAAGGGGTATGGAAAGAATCAATTCCAAAGTTGGGATAAAAACGTCGCCTTTGAAACGAAACATTTGCATTGGATCGATTTCCACGATTCCATACCGAACATCCTGGTTGAAGAAGCTTTATTTCCATACAAATCGATAATCTCTTTAATATTTTACAGTAAGTGTGAATTTACATAGCAACATTGTTTCTTTAATACCACAACACCACGATTGTTTTTCATAAAATCCAGATATATTGTGACTGTTCAAACTAGAATGGTGTAGGACGATCGATATTCAATCACACGATACAGTAATCAGTTTCGGATTGCTTTGATGCGTAGTTGTCGTCGACTCCTGAAAATATGATTTATATCATCAACATCCTGTCCAATGCCAGGTCTCTAAGTTACGCGGTTGTCATCTGAAACACTTCATTCTCCGTTTCATTTCAACATTTTTGGTATGAATACACGAGGAAGTATGTATTTGACTCCCGGGAACCCCTGCACATCTCCCTCTTTTTCATTTTCTATCAGGGTTTGGGGTTGAGAAATACTTGGCTTTATGTCTCTGGCTTTGTTTGAGGGACAGAAGAGACTCGGACCTGTGGCTTGGAGTAATATTAGGTTCAAATGACATGTAGGATTCAATCTCTGACCAAGGTATGGGGTCCGGGGTAATTAGTTATTTAGGTATTAGGGCCAAAGGATACTCGGGAATTGAGTTTCTGGTCAGGTACATTTGGGTCAAATGAGACGAGCAATCATGTCTTTATTTATCCCGGTATTAAGAGAATGCTGGCTGCTGTTTCTGACAAATGGGAAGTATGTACGTCAGTGCAGCACTATGGTATCCAGAGTGTAATTCACACACCACTTATACATTGATTTACCTCTGTTTTTACACTATGTATTTACATACATTTACACTTGGTGCGTGCAACTGTGGTATCATTGTACATATTACGTGTAATGTCAGATATTTGCACGTGTACGAGATCAGCCCAGACTTCAGATTCATAATAACGCGGTATGCTAAAGTTGCGATCGGGTTGATAAGCTTTTTTTTCATCCTTCATAGAGGGAGAGAGAACTTATTTCTGGAAAAGCGTTTTCACAAGAATGCAATGTTATATACCGTTTTCCCAGCAGTGTGATGGGGAGGCAGGATACAGCGGCTGTAAGCCCAGGGATGTCCGCATATCTACACCAGTTGTGAATTCCATTAAACCAACGACATGCCGGTTTTTCACGTATTAGTGGGTGTATGGTTGAGAGGAGCGGGTGCTGAGGGGAAACGGTGCAGAAGGTTTAGGTGAAATAATTACATAGTAATCTGTATATTGATGAAAAGCTTCCCTGAGGCTCAGAAAAAAACAAGCTAAAAATTCTGTCGTATCTTGTGTCTGGCATGCACGTAGAGTCGACTGTTAAAATAAAGTACTAGTAAAGTTTACCTCAAATTGATATATATAATATCTTTGGTGGAGAAATGTGTATATATATATATATAGTATACCTAGTGGTAGGTTATACAATTATAAGTACGGTCGATATTCCCTGAACAGCGATTATTCGAATTTCTCGATTTATTGAATTTTTGCCCTGTTCAGAAATTCATTCCAAAATACTATTATATGAATGACTATCTAGAGAGACAGCTTACTAATAATGGTCATAAACAAATTGAAGCAGAATAATTAAGCTTGGAGAATCATCTCGAATGAACATCCAATGATTACCTAAATGTTTGCGTCCAATGATGTTGTCTCTTATTGTACAAGACAGAGTAAAGAGTCCAAAGGGCGCTGAACCACATTACGTTCATTCCTTTATGAATGGAATTCCGGTTTTGTCCTTACAGATTTTTTTTGTTGATAAGGCCGCATTTTCGGAGACAAACAGAATGTCTTCTAACAGAGCCATATGTTATTGAAAAGATAATTCTAATAAAAAAAAATCACTTGTGTGTCTTTTGTATACTCTGTTCTAATGCGTCCTATTACATCATATTATACGGTATGTCAGTATATTGGCATTGACGATATGCTGACTAACATTCTCAAATTTACCATAATGATAGGAGATTTCTATTAAATGAGTGGGTGGTTCACTGTGGCGATCGTGGTTCTGATTCAGACATTTCCAGGAATGAGTTCCGGCAATATTCCAGGATGTGGTGGCATAGACCCAATTTGAAGTTATCCAAGCTATTAAAATGTCTGTGTTACCCGCACCCCGTCGAAACCGTCTTAATTCATAATAAAGTACTATCGACAGTATGGTCCAATATTGGTACTGGATCCTAACAAACAAACGGTCGTTGAATTCGTATTACTGGACTAGATATATGACCAATGAAGTAATAACGACAGTACGTACAATTCACTTTGCTGCCGTTACTACTTCGTTGAGCATATATATAGAAATATATTGGAGGTAGTTTGACTAATTTTTCTTGTTATGAAGGAAATGCCTGATTTTATTTCTTCTGTTCATTTTTTATTTATTTAAACATTGTTTTTCTAACTTAAAAGAACATTTAATTATACACATATCTATCTTCTTAAAAATATGGACTTGTAGTACAAGTTCTTGGTTATGTAAGAGCAGAGCAAAAATTACTTCTTGAATATCATACATTTGTATTTAGCTACAGAAGTATTGAGAGAATGTCAGAACCTAGAACTGGAAATTCATTCACACAGCTACAGAAAACAATCGCCTTAATTGACACATTGGCTTTAATTTCATATTGAATTGACAAACACTCTTTCGGGAGCCATGCATCGCCTGCTGGAATTATTTCATTAGAGCAAAATCAATGAATAAATAAATCTCATTATTTGTCAAGAGGCGACGGAATCCTTCGATAAAATGTTCACTGCTCGTAATCATCTCCGGTGGATATGACGAGGTTCTGTCGTGTCATCTGGAACCTCCAGATCCGGAGAGCGGCGCTGTTACGAAATTTCCGTATGTATCTTTGGTGTTAGTATCAGCTGATACAGAAGGAAATGAAACTGTTGAACATTAAACTCAACATTTAGTTTTATCAAGTTTTGAAGCATATGAAAACTC